TAGGCCAACCGACGGCCGCGCCTCGGCCTCGCACGGCACCACTGTATTTTTTTTTATATGACGAATCCAGGTGTACGGTACCATTTTTACAAGATCCATCTCCAGTGTGCCTAATCTATGCCTGCAGCTGAATGTGAGGAAAATGAAGGCATTCCCACATTTTGTAAATTAAGAGAGTTTTTCTTCAGTACCAGTTATTTTATATAAATACAACTGAAAGATCTAAAGGCCTTTCCACCTTCTTACAATCATATGCCTTTTTGGTGTAAGTCCTTCTACATTTCAAACAACATCTTTTAGGTATAGAGGATTTTGTCCAACTTAATCCCTTTTATGTCTACGAGAAAAACTGGAAAATTCAAACTCTCTCCTACATTTCTTTCATTTACAGGGTTTCTCTCCAGTATGAATTTTTCCCCATATATTGGAAGACTAGAACATCTGAAGACTTTAACACATGTTTTACATTCATAGGCTTGCTCTTCTGTTTGAATCCTTCCATAACTGTAGAAAAGGTCTTACACAGAACAGAACAGAAAAAACTGAATGTGTTTCCAAATTTCTTACATTCACGGGATTTCTCTCCAATATGTTCTTTCATGTTCACAAAGATAACAGAAACAACTGAAGACTTCACTGCAATCCTTTCGTATGTTTTTTTTTTCATATTTTTGAAGGGATGAGAAATAGTAAAAGCACTATCACATTTCTTACATACATAAGACATTTCACAACATTGTGAGCCCTTTTATGTCCTAGAAAAGACCTGAGGCACTTGAATACTTTTCCACATTCCTTAGATTCACAGGGTTTCTCTCCATTATAGATTCTTTCATGGTCTTGAAGGGAACTTCCACAATGGAAGGCTTTTCCACATTCTTAACATTCATAAGTTTTTTTCTTCCAGTATGACTATTTTTTTATGAAGGGAACTGAAACAACAGAATGCGATTTCACATTCCTAACATTCATAGGGTTTTTCTCTAGCATGACTACTTTTGTGGTTATGAAGGGAACTGGAATAGAATGCTTTCCCACATTCCTAACATTCCTAGGGTTTTTAACCAATATGAATTACTTTACGATGATAAAAGTTATTGGAACACCTGAAGACTTTCCCACATTGCTTACATACAAAGGATTTCTCTGTAGTATCAATTATTTCATGGTCACAAAGGGAACTGGAACTGAAGGGTTTCCTACATTTTTTTTTTTTGAGTTGGAGTCTCACTCTGTTGCCCAGATTGGAGTGCAGTGGCAAGCTCACAGTCATCCCAGCGTCGACCTGCTGAGATCTGGCGATCCTTCCACCTCAGCCCTCCAAGTAGACAGAACTACAGATGTGTGCTACCACACCTGGCTGATTTTTTTAATTCAGCTTTCTAAAGTCATTAGAAAGATTTTGTAAAAGGCTCATACTGGTGAAAAACCTTATGCATGTAAGTAATGTGGTAAAGCATTCACTCTTCCTTAAGAAACCATGAAATACTGCTACCATGCCTGACTAATTTTTTGATTTATTGTAGAGATGAATGGTGCGTAACTGTGTGAATGGGTGGTAAAGGGTTCTGAAAGAGGAATGATGTGGTATAACACAATTCACAAGACACCTTTTACATTAGAAAGTAAGGGACCAGGAGGCACTTTGTCTCACAGTAAAATTCCCTAAGTTTCTTATCCATCAGACTTTTATTAGTACAAAATGACAGAGTTAAGTAAGCCTTCAAGGACAAAGTACAGACCGTGAAAGGAAAACTCCATTTTGATCTTAGAAAACTTTTGTGATAAAGTGTGACTGTTTGCAAGATATAGTGCAGCTGCTTACAAGACAATATATAACTTTTATCTAATCCAACACAATAGATACCGCACTTTTAGAATTTACCTCAGCATACATGCTCATCTGGCTTTGCTATTATAGGCATTCTTGACTGGTTGTGACTTTGCACGTATGCCAAGTATGTTTTCAGGAGAGTTAAAGCAGGGCAGTGGTCTCCAACAGATGAGATTTCACCAAGTTGCCCAGGCTGTTCTAGAGCCCATGGGTTCAGGCAGCTCCTTCACCTTGGCTTCTCAAAGTGCTGGGATTATAGGCTTGAGTCTACATTTTTAATATTCACAAGGTTTCTCTCCAATATGAGTTATTTCATGCTTTCTTAAGGAAGAGTGAATGCTTTACCACATTTCTTACATGCATAAGGTTTTTCACCAGTATGAGCCTTTTATAAAATCTTTCTAAGGTCTTTAGAAAGCGGAATCCTTTCCCACATTCCTTACATTCATAGGGTTTCCCTCCAATATGTGTTTTTTAGGGGTATGAAAGTGACTAGAATGACTGAAGACTTTCCCACATGCCTCACATTTGTAGGTTTTCACTCCAGTATAAGTTCTTTCATAGTTTCACAAAGAGGAAGAGTGAATGCTTTACCACATTTCTTTTATGCTTAAGGTTTTTCACCATTGTGAGCCTATGTCCTTCAGAGGACTTGAGACAACTGAATCCTTTTTCACATTCCTTACATTCATGGGGCTGCTCTCTAATATGAGATCTTTTATGAGTATGAAGGTAACCGGAATGATAAAAGGCTTTCTGTCCCACATGCCTTACATTTGTATAGTTTCACTCCAGTGTGAATTCTTTCATGATTATGAAGAGAATAGGACTGAAGAAAGGTTTCCCCCATTCCTTATATCCATAGAGTTTCTGTCCAGTATGACTGAAATGCGTGAAACTTTCTCACATGCCTCACGTTAATGAAGTTTCTCTTCAGTATGAGTTTGTTCAAATAATAAAGATTACTGGACAGCTGAAGGCTTTCCCACATTCCTTACATACATAGCGTTTCTTGAGTATGAGTTCTTTCATGGTGATGAATGTAACTGGAAATGAAGGCATTCATAAATATCTTATACTCATAAAGCTTCTCCCCAGAATGAGTTTTTTAAATGCTTTTACAAGAAAACACGAATGCCTTTTCACATTTCTTACAAGCATAAGGTTTTTCACCAGTGTGAGCCTGTCTATATCCTTTAAGGGACTGGAGATGACTAAATCCTTTCCCACATGCCCTATGTTCATAGGGGTTCTCTCCAGTATGAGTTTGTTCATGCCTTTGCAAGGAAAAAGAAAGAGTGAATGCTTTATCACATTTCTTACGTACATATGGTTTTCACCAGCATGAGACTATTCATGTCCTTTGAAGGACTTGTGACAACTGAACCCTTTCCCACATTCCTTTAATTCATAGGGGTTCTCTCCAGTATGAGTTCTTTCATAGCTATGAAGGTAACTGAAACGACTGAAGACTTTCCCACATTGCTTACATTCATAATTTATCTCCAGAGTGAATACTTTCATATCTTTTAAGAAAACAGGGAAAATGGAATGCTTTCCTACATTCCTTACACTCAAAGGGCTTTGCTCTAGTGTGAGTTCTTTCATGTATTAGACAAGAACTAAATAAACTCATAGCTATACAACTTCTTTTACATTTGTAGGGTTTACCTGCAGTGTGAGTTCTCTGTTGTATCTGAAATAAGCTGGGAAAACAAAAGGTTTTCCTACTTACAGTCCATTTATAAGGGCCATTACTAATATGAGTTACCATGTGTTGTTGAACACTCATGAGAGAAACAAAGGTTTTCTGACATTGTTGACATTTATATGACTTCTCTTCATATTCCTCACACTCATATGGTCTGTGTCCAGAGTGAGACATGATGTACCTATAAATAGATGAATGACATATGAAGACTTTTCCACACATTCTGTATTCACAGTTTTACTCCAGTAAAATTTTCTTGTTGACTGGGCTTGGTGACTCAGCCTGTAATCCCGGCACTTTGGGAGGCTAAGGAGTAGAATGCCTGAGTCCACTGGTTTGAGACCAGTCCAGGCAACTTGGTGAGACCTCGTCTCTACAACTAGCTTGGCATGGTACTGCATGCCTGTAGTTCTGGCTACTTGGATGGCTGAGGTGGAAGGATCACTGGAGCCCAGCAGGTTCATGCTGGGATGGCCATGAGTGTGCCACTGCACTTCAGCTTGGGCAACAGAATTGAGACTCAAACTAAAAAAAAAATTTTCTTGTTCATTTAAGATTTGGAATCTGGCTGAAGGTTACTCCACATTAACTACATTATTTGCTTTTGCACAGTATTTTTAACATGTCCTCTGTAAAACATGATAATCACATAATTAATGGTTGCCTCATTAATTATCTTCTATTTATTAACAGGTCTTGAACTTATACAGGAAGTCCCCAACTTATTAATGAGTTTGGTTCTGAGATCACATTTGTGAGTCCAATTTGTTTTAAGTCAGGCAAAGTTAGCTTAGGTACCCAACTGACACAATCAGCTATATAGTATTGAATGTGTTTAACAGGCTATAGTGAAACCTGCTGGAGACAAATACATAAAAAAATGCAGATGTACATCATTCAACTTCGTAACTTGAAGGTTTGAATGTAGGGGACTTACTGTATTGCCAGCAGTTTCAGGGAAGGTACAGGTTTTTTGCTATGACTAAATTGTTGTGAGTAAATGAACTGCTTACTTTGCAATAGGACTCCCTCCTCCATATACATTATCAAAACAGTTATATTCATATATGCTATCTTAGACTGTGTCCAAGTGAACTATTTTGCAAACAGTGAATATCTATGTTACGTTGATATGTATTTTGGTGAAAATTTTATAAAGATAAACAAGCTTAAGATATGCTTATTTGTTTGGTTTCGTTATTTTTAATATAGCGTGCTCAGATTCCTTCAAGGGATGTTGCTTCCTGTTGCAATTGCAAATTACCTTTGATTTCTACAAGAATTTTTGTATTGGTCTTCAATATTCTGGTCTTTGCACTATTTCCTAAAATGTAGACCCAGAAAAATATAATGATTAGAAACTGTACAGTAATTAGTAAATTCTAGGTGCTATGGTTGGATATGGTTTGTACTCTCCAAAATTCATATTAAAAATTGATCCCCAGTCGGGCTCAGTGGCTCAGCCTGTAATCCCATGCCTTTGGGAGGCTGAGGTGAGTAGATTGCCTGAGCTCGCGGGTTCGAGACCCGCCAGGGCAGCGAGACCTCATCTCTACAATAAATCAAAAAATCAACCGGGCGTGGTAGCACGCGCCTGTAATTCCGGCTACTATGAAGGCTGAGGCGGAAG